GGACAAGAGTATTGCCTCGGCAATGTAGGCCCGCGCCCCCACTTCCTGGGACTTTCCCAGGGAAAAGGGGCTACTTAAGGGAGCCCCGAAAAAGGCACGAGGCTTTTTGGTCGTAGACTTTCTTTCTACGTGCATTGTGTCGCCTATACATTTTAAAATTAGTTTAAGCGTTATCGGTTAAATGAATAAATATATCTTTGTTACCCACTTGGCGAGTAATCATTTACACCACGTCACTTCTAAATATTCTTCAAAATATTGTTATTGTATATTAATAATTGTATCTATATATGTATAAGCAATATTTTCCATTTTGTGCGTAGTCATGTGTTTAAAAATTTAAATCCTTAAATACAGTTAATATTTACATGTTGACCATTTTAAAAATGTAAAGAAAAAAACGTTAAATTACGATATAAGTTAGAATAATAAGGAGAGGTAAAAATAAATTAATATGCAATTAATTTTATACGAATGGATACAAATATATTTAATAAATATAAATAAGCACGGTATGTGGTGTGGTTTCGGAACGAAATTATGTATTTTTATTGTGAACATATAAAACAATGTTTCATTAGAACATAACTTATTAGGTCATTCAAGCGTTAAGTACATTAATGTAGAAAATGCATTAAACATACAGTACAATCCCTCTTATCCGGTCACGCTTTAATCGGTTTCCGCTTTAATCAGTCACATTTTCGTTAGGAGTCCCAACAGAAAAACAATTAGCACATTCAGTGTTACTTATCTCATTCGTGGTTCACAGTATTTATCATAAAGGAAACTTCAATTACACGAATGAGTACATTCTTCGGACTTAATTTTGAAATAAAATAAAAGAAAAAAGCTGAAAGTGTAAAGAATTTAACCGAAGAATTCTGTTTTTGTAGTCGAATATTGTAATTCAATTTTTTTTATCACTTTTTAAGGTCCTATTCAAAATTTAATATTCTGCCTGTCACGTAACATGGCAGAAGATTGTAGGAGCGAATACAGTGCATTGTAATGATCCCATAATTTTTTAACTGCATTTAGATCGCAGTCAGTTCAGATTCACATTCTACATTTTATACGTAAATGATGTAAATAATATTTGGCATATATTTTCGGATTAACGGGCTAATCGTTTATATGATCAGAGATCCGATCCTGTAGGGATCGCAGCAAAGATGAGGTTTCTGACATCATCGCCCCACCAAATGAGCGGAAAATAGACGGACACGCCATCCCTACTTTGGACCTCCATCGGACCTACTTTGCCGCCGCTTAAGGGGAAGTTGCGGTGTAGGTAAAGTTGGTGGAACAAATACATATAGTGAGCTCGTAAGATTTGTCAGGAATTAAAGTAAACCTATTTCGAGTGTTCTAACAAGAGAATTGACAGAAATATGAGAAGGTAAGAACTCGAACCCTCAGTCAGGGCTGTATTATGTATTCATTGTACGTGCGCAGGCTCTGTCGTCCTTCACATTCTTATAATGGTCTTCGTTTTCACCTGTATTTTGCTTCAATTTTTATAACTTTATTCACTTATCTTTATGAAAATAGTACCAATGAATTAGTGCAATTCTCTCGATGAAAATGAGTCCAAACACGAGAATAATCAGAGTAGTTTTACCAGTCACGGATTTAAATATCGCGGATTTTGAAGGATACTTTGAAAAGTGACTACTCTTGAGGCTAGCCCGATTCATATCGTGTTTGAACTTATTTTCATCGGAATACCCTTACCAATCCACTGGTACTATTTTCATAAAAATAGGATGAAAATTATAAAAATTACTACTGCTAGATTACTCATCAAACACCCGAACTTATTCCTTTGATCTATTATCGACTGCTGGTCCTTTACCGACTGCTCACGCGAGACTCGATCGCCACCAATCGTTGTTCATGGAAGAGTAAGTGCGACTGTCTTACTCTATCCCTATTGGCTGATTAACAGCGAAGACGTCACAATTTGTCCTGCATCTCCCACTTTTAGGCTTTAAGGCTCGCCTGAAGCCTCATCTTTGCTTTGCCGATTTGTATGTTTTTTTTCATAATACAATGTATAATATGAAATT